ATTGACAATAATGTCAACTTGACGTTGAACTGACCTTCAAGGGCATGGTCAAGGTCATGATCAAAGTCACAGGCGGACGTAAATTTTTCCGCTGTTTCCATTCCTGTGGTCAAAAATATGTGTTCCTATTTAAAAAAGTAAATTTGACTTTGAAATGACATTCAAGGTCACAGTCAAGGTCAAATCTCAGGTCACGATTGAATAGCCAGGAAAAAAACCTAAGACTTTTGTCTGAAACTTTTTTCCCCAAAGTGCATTCCTCCACAGTTATTTGGCCGTTTCCATACTTTTGGATCACCCTCTGTATGTATAAAATTAACTTAGAAATTACCTGATTTACTATCTGATCTACTATATTATATGATTTATTAAACTTCAGCGATCGGTTTAGTTCTAATATTCTTGAGAGAGACTTTTATAAAATATGTAAATAAAATACTTATTTTTCTTTTTTAGAAAAAACATATATTGAGAAATTATTTTAACAATTCGTTGTATTTATTTGTAATATCGAATTTTATCTTAATTATTTCTAAACAAGAACAAGTAGAACAAGTTAAAATATATTGCCTGCTTATTGATCGAATTTAGATCATTTTTTCATTATAATTCAGTGAATGTAATGTCTAATTGATATTATTTAAACTTCTCGATATTTAAACTTTATTTTTGTTCTACTTAAGTTACTTTTACAAGATTTATATTTTAAAAAGTAACGTCCATGATTGTTTCGGTTCAATTATTATTTGAAAATGTTAATGTCATTATAATGTCATTATAAGTAATTATATAAAATATTACATATCTGACTCTAATTAGCTAAATTACCGTTTTAATTCGCTAAATATATGTTAAATATTTTTTTTAATATGTATTTGCATAGAAATTCGCAATCTGATTACAAGATTCACATTTACATTGTGGTTTTTACAGTACTTTTAACAATAAACGTGCAAATAGACAGAGAAGAAAATATAAAGTTTCATACAAATATATATTGTATAGTTATTATTATTATATATATATATATACAATATATTATATATTATATATATATTATAATGTATGGAAAGAAAAAGAAAAAAAACATTCCCTGATACCTCCATAATCAATTGACAATTTGTGTAGTGTCTCAAATTAATATCGGTTTGATGAAGACTGCAGATTTTTTATTGTGAAAACATGCGGACTTCAATATATTCCATAATAATAGATTTGATTAATGTGTCTATACGATTAAAATGTTCTTCTACAGTATCATGAATTTGATTGTTTAAATTCGGAAATATATTGTAAGTCGTTCTTGAATTCAACAAGAGTTCTCTCAATGCTTTTAAGCAGAGCATTGCACCAAATTGAGATTCAATTAGCAAACGACCTTTATTGCAATCGATTGCACGTCTAAATAATTGTTCTGTCAATTGTGTTATTTTATAAACCTTTGTTTATTTGTGTTATTTTATAAGACTTTCATTAGATATAAAATTAATGCGTCTTTTTTGAAGAATTAATCGCATAGCATTTTGATAAGAGAGATTTGTGACACCATCTATAAATACATTTAAATTATTGTTTATGTCGTTAGCAACATTCGTATTAATCAAAAGTTTTCTACAAGATTCACATTTGATACGAGTCCATATTTTATTACAAAACCGCATATATAAGCAACAGCATTGTATGAAAAATCACTTATCTCAAATAACATATCTGAAGATGTTATTACATTAATAAAAGACTGATCACATGATTCATCATCTAATCGATATTTTTTTACTAACACATAAATTTGCTATGTTATCATAAACTGTGGGATCATATTTATTTAATCGTTTCATTCGCTGAGTTTTTGAACTTACTATAGAATTAGAATTGATGTATTAGCTTGCATTTCTACGTTACCATTATTATACAATTTCATGATGACTTAACAATCTTTTATAAGCAGATAAAAATTGTGCAGATGTTGGATTTAGACACTATCTTCCACGAATTCTAATAGAGCCAAACCATAATTCTAAATGATCATGGCTCAATTTATACGTCAATAAATATGCAAGCTGTGAATTATCAGGTTTAACATAATCATCAAAAATTTTAATAACTGCTTGAGCAGCTGAATAAAATCCTAAATAGCCCATCTTACGTCGCGTTTGAAATAATGACATTCCATCTTTATTTTTCAACATCGAAATATAAATTAAAAGTCTATTCGTGACCGCCATATATGTTTATTCTCTCGCATTAAAGGAGCTTTATAGACCTTGACTGTAAGGATTACGCGAATTCAGAAAATCGAATAAAATATCTATAGATCGAATGAATCGAATCGTGGTTTCACAACCTTGAAAATCTGGTAATTTTAAATCGTTCATACAAAACTGTAAAGTATCAGCAACACTCTCACTCAAAGTTTGGACAGCCAAGCTCACTTTCATTTTCATTTTATGATATTGTATGTGATTTAATTTATTTGCTCCACGTAATCCTTCAGTTTCCTACAAGTATGCTAAGGAAGTAATATATTTCCACTGAATTTAATTACCATCAAGAAATATTTTCGACTTTTCAAATATATTCCGAATTAATTTCAACACAGTCATGTTCATCTTTTCACGCATATAGTTATAAGCACGAGGTGAATAAAAATGTAAAGTAAATGCAAAAATTCGCAAAGATTCGCATGGTGAGTATTTACGTTTGCTCACCATCTTTTGTATAATACGCTGTATTAATTTTTTTATACCCTGATCTGATATTGATTCGAGAAAGGTGAAAGAATTGTCTGAAACTTTACTCTGTTGTCTTAATTTCGTTATTATATTTTTTAAGTTCGTCATGTGTTTTCGAAACCATTGAAGCTGTCGTTTTTGAAGTGTAACTATACGTCGGTATTTTTTTTATATTCCTCGGCTTTTTTTATGCAAAACAGTATCACAGTAATTACGATTTATATTTCCAGTATGAGACATCAATAGTTTATTTACATTTCCATCTGTAAAAAAATAAAATTTTTAAGGACTTTTTATCAATTATTATTTTATCTGTTATTACATACCATTAGTTTTATCACTGATGATAAATGATTTCTCAGAAATGTGTGTGTTTTCATTAATATTAGTACTTTCATCTGAGGAGAAGAATAAATGATTAAACTTCTATTTGTAAAAAGACCAATAAAAAAATATAGCTACCTGCTGAATGTAGCTGTTTGGATCTGATTTCTTAATTCATTGTAACAAACCTGTTGTGAAAGATTTTCTATTGATGTCAATACAGCTGAAAAGAATATAACTTTCTGTACATAGTATATAATATATTAAAGATATTTACATATAAACAACAATAAAATAATATTACTAGACTTAATATTGTTGAAACATTCAGGTTTAAATATTGTTGGAATACTTTCATCTTTAAGCTCCAAGTGTTTTCTTCTCTTGTAAAAACAAGTTTTCTCAAAATGTTCTGAACATAAAAAGCTATTGTTGTCTAAAGTACAATTCTTAATTCTCATATTATCAAGCCATTTTTTCAAAATGTTTGATTTATTAATTAGAAACCTTTGTTTACAATATAAAGAAATTTATAAATATATACAGTTATATTTATATACTAATTTATTTCTAATATGATGCCAATTGAGTCTCAAATTGAATTGCTTGTCAATTTAATTTGTGATATTACTGCAGTAGTTAACGGATTGTGTTTAAAGATCGAAAATTAATTCGGCGCGCGATTTAAAGTAAGATATATAATGTAGTATGTAAATTCACACAGAATTATTTTCAGCATGAAAGATTTAGCTCGATCGGTTAGGGCCTTTATTTCCGTGTTGTGTTCACATCTTACTTGAAAAAGGAATGTTCCGAATTATATGTACGATTACGTTTGCAATATACACAGCAAAATTGAGGCTTATCAAAGCATATTGGAACACTGTTTGGTTTCAACAGTATTTTCAATTCTGAACGATAAAAGCAATCTTCTGTAAAATGGTTTGAGCATAAAACAGCCGAGTTTATTGGTGTTAAATTTTTTATAGGAATATTCTTCAACCATTGTTTTAACAAATAATGATTGTTTAGAGGAAATCTGTAACATGTTTATGATTATTTGACATTTTGAACTAACTATTCAATTTTATTATTTACTTCAAACAGGACAAAGATAACAAATTTTACAATATATTATGTAAATATTACAACGGAATACTACATTTACTTATGGAATGTCAATCCATCTTCATGACATTTCAGTTTTCCGCAAAAGCAACAGTGTCTCATTTTAAGTGTAAGTAAGAAATTTTTTTAAAGAATTTTGTTTATGCATGCCTCTGTGACTGCTCTGCGACCTCTATGGATCTTTAGCAACTTTCATGCAGCAATCCACGAAACGGTTAAGTACGCATGCGTCAGAACTTTCTCATTTAACATAGCGCGAGATGACACGAATGTGGCGGGGGAAAGGACATCAGCAATCTAGATATCTATGACATACGTGCATACATGTTCATTCCTACATATGTTCATATATACATACGTGCATATATGCATACATATGTTTATTCATGTATACATATCTTTATACGCATTGGATTAGATCTCGCGTATCATTGTACACTACCGGGTTTTACGTGCACGTGACGCAATGTTCATACTCGTATCAACTTCGGACGTCTTGTTGACATTGACATGGTTCTATTCGTTGAACACGGTATACGTGGCAGCAGTCTGCGTCAGTGCTCCAACAAGTATGCAAGGACCAACAATGCGTTATAGTAGAATTTTCTATAGAGGAATTTATTTTTGATCATAGCTCACGTTTCCTCACTTTTATAGATGAGTATATATTTATAAATACATGCGCCTGATTGATAAATGTAAGTTTTTCTTGCTCAGAGGATATGCTAAGAGGAAGTCTCCGCTTATTGACAGAATATTTTTTTGTGCGGTGATATCAATACAAAGCTTACTCTTTTAAAAAAGGATAAAAAAGGCTAAGAGTGCGTGTTTTTCGGAAAAATATACTAAGACTACGTTCCAAAACTTCCTCTTCGAGAAAAATTTTACTCAATGGTATTCCAAAATGTTGCGAGTGTTTCCGATTGGTTCCTTGCCTATCATTCGAAAACTAGAAAGGAAGTTTTCGTATTTCTTCCATTGAATAAAATTCTCATTTGCATTTTGTGTACGGGAATTACAGGTAAATTGCGATGATTGGTGGAAGAAACAGAGAGATATAGAAAAGTTGACTCGTGTAAATAACGCAATAAATTAAAATGTCAAGGCTTTTTTAAAAAACGAGCAAATATAGTTAACTAGTAGAAATTCCTCTTTAATTATAATCATATAACGCTATAAATTTCAAATGTTTCGATTTACAAAGTCTTCATCAGTGATAGTAAAAAAAATATTTTTGTAACACCATCCAATGTCAACGAACTAACATATGATACATAATAAAAATTATCACTCTATGCTAATCTTATTTAGTTATTGAAAGCTATGAAAAAAAACATGTAAAATTCGGTAAATGGCTTTATTGTTTTTCGAAGTATTCGCCTTTAAAATCGATACATTTTTGCATACGCTCGAACAATTTTCGAAGCATTTTTTCCACTCTGAGACTGTAACCTCAGAAATCAGTGTACGAAATGTTTCAACAACTGCTTCAGGCGCCTCAAATCGCTCACGCATCTTCTTTTTAATGTTTGGGAACAAAAAGAAATCATTAGGTGATAAATCAGGTGAATATGGAGACAATGAATCATCAATTCGACATTTTTAATGAATAAAAAATCAACGGTTTGATGTGCTGTGTGACAGCTGGCGTCATGATGAAGGATGATGCGACGATTTCGGTTTGTTCTACGCAATTCATTTATGATTTCTGGCAAACAAATTGTTGTGTACCAATCAGTATTTACAGTCCTTCGATCCTCTAAAGCCACAGTTCCCACATGTCCGGTATAATTGAAGAAACAAGCAATCATTTGCCTGGCAGCACTGCATGAACGAACAACTTTTGTTGGTTTCGGTTCATTTTAAAATATCCAAACAGTGGATTGTTGTTTACTTTCGAGCTCATACGAATAGATCCATGTTTCGTCCCTAGTAACGATGTTGTAGACCAAATTTGACCGATCTCGGTTAAATTTCTTAAGCATTTCTTTGCTCCATTTAACACAAGCCTGTTTTTGAGCTTCGGTCAAATTGTGTGGGATCCAACGACTGCAAAGTGTCCGTACGCTCAAGTGATCATGCAAAATCGTATGTATTGCTTTCATGTCAATGTCTAAGGATGCCTGAATCTCGTGGTATGTCATATGCCGGTCTCGCTCAATCATTTCGCGCACAACATTAACATTAGTGGCAACAACAGACGTGGACGACTTTCACGGAATTAGTCACAAAGAAAGGTATGTTCTCGAAATCGGCAAACCAATTATAAACAGTCCTATTGGATGATGCTTCATCCCCAAAAGCCAAATGAATTCGATCGATGCATTGTTTCGGAATTAAATTACATTTGTAATCGTAAAAAATCATTGCCCGAAAATTTTCATGCGAAATTTCCATTTTCTCACAAAATAACTTCTTTTAAAATACTATGCAAATAAAACTAGTTGGCTTGGTACAAACTGTCAATTAAATTATAGGTTAAAAACGGCTAATTTTATATATGATATGATAATAACAGAACATTGGTGCCACTGGAAGTATTAGATTGCAGAAATTTTTCCAGCAGCCTACGTACCAGCACGGCTTGCTCTCCGATTATGATCTTGAATAGTTTCTGCGACGAGAATTCCGCGAGGCCTGTGACTTGCCATGCGATAAACGAGTTCCCAATTTCTCCACTCGATCTAAAAACGCGGACATTTGCGAATCTGCCGAATTAGCTTTTGTCAGTGTAACTGCTGCAACAGCGTTAACGCCAGCGGGTAGCACATCTGTTATTCGGTTCATAGCTCTTTGAGTTCATAGCTGTTAATATAGTCTGCACTCTGTTGTGGTAGGCGTTGGAGCCATAAAGATTTAAACACTTCCTCTGACATCATTTTGCGCGAGATATCTCATCTGACGGAGCAATTGAGACGGACGGCAGTCACCTAGATCAACCTCATTTAATAACTTATGCAGTTTCTTTTCGGCGCTATCTGCGAAGCTCTTAACTAACCTATCTTTGAGAGCGGCGTATCTATCCGTCGCGGGCGGATTAAGTACAATATCGCTAACTTCGGTCAAAGAATCATCATCAAGGCATTGTATCACATAATTGTATTTTGTCTTATCTACAGTTATACCTGCGGTGAGGAATTGAGCTTCCATTTGTATACGAACCAAAGGTCTGGCTTCGATTTTCAGAACGCTGTGGATCTGATTCCGACTCGCGTAAGTGCAAGCACTTCAACTATATGCGATCGCTGCCCTGATCGCCCGAGGGAAGATCGCTTGAGCCACTAGCCATGTCTGCCTTGTTAGGATGCGTGCGTTAGGTTAAATGGAATAAAACGCAATCACGTCGAGGTCACCAATCTATGGCTGCTGTGTTCAATGTGGCACCGAGCATGTCTGGGTGCCGGCGATAACTAACTAACGACGAAGGCCGTTCTAACTAACAATTGACAAATTGAATTGGAAATCATTAAGTTTGCAAATAAATATTACTCATTGATTCTGATTCATATAAGGCGGTTTAATACAAACTCAAATGATTGTTTAGAACGTTCAGATTACAAAAGTAGAGAATGATTGCGTGCGTATGATGACGCGGATATCGGTATCGCAGGTTAGAATACGAGAAACTAAGAAAATCTACAATATAAGCATTTATCTGACGACGCTAGCAATTACATAATGACATGAGCAATAACCGATGTCGATCTCGCAATTACGATAAACATAAAGAGGTGATTAATCTTACTGAGCACTAACTTAAAATTTATCTCTCGCTGAGGCTTACAAAAAATCGCAGAACGTCATGACATCAGAGAGAGAGAGAGAGAGGGAGAGAGAGAGAGAGAGATAGGAAAACCGGAAAAAAAGAACTAACTCGAGCGCTGCAACTAATGCTTGCAACGCCACACAAGATTGCGACTAGCGCCATTAGTCGGCGGTCTATTGAGACCAGTAGCGACGCATACAAGTATAAATTGAACATGCGTCCATAGACATAGTCCATAAACTATCTCTATGCATGCGTCCGTGTGTGCATCCGAAGCCATTTGTAATACTAAGGAATCAGTTTCATAACTGGCCACGATGGCC